CCGGAAATTCGCTTTTTGTCCGCTCGATTCTGTAAAAAGCACCCCGCCATAAGGAGGCAGTGAGCAGGACATCACTGACAGAGGCTATACACGCGTGGGAATTTCGAGAGGGTCAGCGGATTCTCCTCACTCTCGGTCGTGTCAAAGCATTTTGGTGTCTAATCCACCTTGTCACTCGGACTGAAACTTTTTCATACTTGTGTATGGGTATGATTATGTTTAGTTTCTACTAAGGAAAACTGTCGACGACTCTCAGTTACACGAAGAATACATAGATTATTTTCCATTTGTGGTAATAAATGTAGTTCGAATCATATTGTACAGTCAATTATTGTCAGTCGGCAATAAAGTACACGCTCAAAGTTAAAAACAGACAAGACTCACTTTATGGATATTTAAATAACAAAAAACAAAGATCATTCAGATTCTTTACAGTCCTAATCACAGATAATGTATTTAAAGCCCTAAGAGGAACACTTATCGAAAATGAGTGTCTATGATTCGTTGAAAATAATATAAAACTCAGGTCCTTAGAATTGCAGATAACCTCCACACCAAAGGGAACCGTTTTTACGAACATTAGCTCTAAAGCTGACAGCTAACAACACCTTAAAGAGAACGATTTCTAACTCTCAAAAGAATGCTCTTAACAACAACCTTACGACTAATATTCTATAGCCGACCAATATTCAGCAACAACTTAAACGATAATCCCTCCTCTGGTCACTTCTTTATAAATTAATCGATGCATCTGATCTTGGGAAACTTGGTATATCAGTCGATTGATTCGACGAAATAGAGCGAAAAGAAGCTCCATAATCGAACACCTTGTGAGCACAGGTCATTCAATTGAAACAGCTTTCAAGTGTATCTACATGGTAGAAAGCTCCCAAAGGTAGTTAGCTTACATCTTCGTAGCTTTGTTGAAATACTCGCTTGACATCTAGAAACAGTTTGAAGATAAATGTAGACACAAGGAATAATCTAAATCATAAAAACTAGGACATCAGTTTCCTAACAAGAGTGATGTTTTTGTGTTTTGGTTTTTAGTTTGCCTTTTCTGCTACCATATTCAGTAAATCAATTACTATTATTAGTAGTAGTATTGGTATTATTATAAGTATTGGTAGTATTAGATATTATTGATATGTATTCTAAAAAATAAACGTATGTTTATTAAAGCACAGCTTTGAATACCAATTTACTGAAAACAACTCTTCTCTGAGTCACTGTTTCTCATTTTTACATCTCAATCTCTTCGGTTGCCCACGATCCCCAGTCATCCTGAATGCCCAATCGATTTAAGTCCTCCCAGTCTACATGAACTTGAGAACGCTATAGGAAATCTAAAGCGAAGTAGAGCAGCAGGTCCTGATAGGCTTACCTCTGAGATGTTTAAGTATGGTGGTCCAGTTTTAACAGTTAGACTGACCAAGATCCTAGGTAGGATCTGGGAACTGGACGTAATTCCATCTGACTGGTCTCAGTCGCTAATTTTCCCAATCTACAAGAAAGGGCAAAAGTCCTATTGTGACAATCACAGGGGAATAAGTCTAACTAATATAGTTTCTAAATTGTTAGCCTCCATTATACTTAGACGTCTAACTAGAGCTCGTGAAGAGCAGACTAGAGAAAACCAGTCTGGTTTTCGACCTGGACGTGGTTGTATAGACCACATCTTCACACTCAGACAGGTCCTGGAACACAGACACATTTAGACGTCCGACAATAGTCGTGTTCCTGGACCTTAAGGCGGCATTCGACTCAGTGGATCGTGAGGTTCTGTGGCAGTGTCTGTCATTGAAAGGTGTACCAAAGAAGTACATGAACCTTATACAAGCTCTCTACTCGAACACCACTGGTCGAGTGAGAGCATATGGAGAACTGTCATCTGAATTCTCTACATCAAGTGGTGTCCGTCAGGGCTGTCCACTCTCTCCTTTCTTGTTTGACTTTGTCGTAGGCATCCTCTTAGAGTTAACATTAAGCTCGTCAGATTTTTCAGGGGTTGACCTTCTACCAGGAAAGTCGCTTACTGATCTAGAATATGCCGATGACATAGTTCTATTCGGTGAAGACGCTGACAAAATGCAGTCTTCTGACTACCATAAGCAACAATGCGAGCATGTTCGGGATGTGGTTTTCCCCCTCGAAATTCAAAATGTTGCTTCAAGACTGTAGTCGAGCGTGTTGATCACTTCACTTATCTGGGGAGTCTCATCAGCGCTGATGGCCTGGTGACTGACGAAATCTCAGCTCGGATACAGAAAGCTCGATTGGCCTTTGCCAACCTGCGTCACTTATGGCGTGGGCGCGATATCCGTTCGCTAACCAAAGGGCGGGTGTACTGCGCAGCAGTTCGCTCTGTTCTCTTATATGGCTGTGAAACATGGCCGTTAAGAGTAGAAGATGTTCGTAGGTTATTAGTATTCGGTCATAGATGTTTAAGGAGCATTGCTCGTATATCATGGGACAACCGAGTAAGCAATGGTATCGTTAGTAAACGAGTACTAGGTAAGGATGGCAGATGAATAGATGAAGTGGTGAAACTTCATCAGTTGAGGTGGTTGGGACATGTCTTGCGTATGCCTAACCACCGACTGCCTCGACGAACTATGTTTTGTAGTGTAGGAGTAGGTTGGAAGAAAGCTAGGGGCGGCCAAACCAAAACATGGCAGAAATCCATGAAGTCACTGACAAGTGGACTGAGTCATGTTGGTAGATGTAGACTACCTGGTTGAGGTCCGCGAGACGAAAGTCACCAATGGTTAGAGACCTTGAATGACATGGCTCAAAATCGTTTGCAATGGCGCAAGTGCATCCATTTGTTGAGCTCTCTCAAATCCTAATCTGGATTCGTCAGCACCTCTACCTTTGTCTTTCTAACCTTATCTCACTGAATTATACTTCTTGAATAATATCTTCAAACCCTAGTCTTCTTCATTACCGTTAACATCTCTACTATCTCCATCACTATGGGATTTGATTTGACATCTGGGTCTCTGTGCTAATGTGGTATGGCAACATGAACTTATGTACATACGTACGAAGTTCTACGTTGCAACTGACTGACTTTACATCTCAATATGTAAATTCCGCTCACCTCCGAAATTCTCCATTACGTTATCATTTTGCTTTTCGAGAATTGTTTGTCCATGCCTTATTGTGTGGAAGTTCTCGTTAGTGTAGTACCAATGCTTTACTGTTATTTTCGTTACTTTAACTTCTGATATCTCATTGTATAATCGACTATTATTGACTTGATGTACTATATTACAGTTATGGTTGCTGTACATTTGTACCAGATTAAATTGCACACTTCTGTTAGCATTTTATTAAGTAAAGAATACATCAAGCTTGCCTGAACGTTTTACCAGTCTATATGATGCTATAACTAACTAAACAGTAAATGATCTTGTTTAAGTTACTTCGTAACATGCTTTTGAAGTTGTGTGGGTGCACAACAGAGCTTTGATCTATTGGTTTAGACATTCATCTCCCTCCCAACTCAATAGTAATTGCAACCTCCTCTACAGTCAAAAAAATTAATAATACTAATCCACTTTCGTTTGCAGGTCACCATGAAAAAAATATTCCCATGCTGTGTGGTCACTTAGAAAGCATCAATACCATCCAGTCTGTCATGAAATCCATTCTTTCCTAAATAATTTAGATTCAAGTTGCCAATTAACAGATTAGCCTTATTATCGAAGTAATAATAGTTCACGACTTAGTGATGTCCTTAAATGTGTACAAAACTCAAGAGAATAGTATAAAGTAACCCTACTATTCTAAATATCTGTTAACTTGTGCTTATTCTCTTTTTCAAAAACACGAAGAAAGTTCTGAAAAATCAATAGCTTTTTTATTCGAGGCGTTGACTTAATTGTTTATCTCGTTGGAATTATTTATTACCAAACCAAAACGTGGCAGAAATCCATGAAGTCACTGACAAGTGGACTGAGTCACGTTGGTAGATGTAGGCTGCTTGGTTGGCTCCGCGAGACGAAAGTCACCAAAGGTTAGAGACCTTGAACGACATGGCTCGAAATCGTTTGCAATGGCACAGGTGCATCCACCCTTTGTGTTCTCTCAAATTCTAATCTTCAGATAGACACAGTGAGCACGTGCATACTCTGAGACTCTCCCCACCCCTTCCCGACGCGTCGGGTTGGGGTGGGGAGAGTCTCAGAGTATGCACGTGCTCACTGTGTCTTGCTGAAGATAGTGAATTTGAGAGAACACAAAGGGTGGATGCACCTGTGCCATTGCAAACGATTTCGAGCCATGTCGTTCAAGGTCTCTAACCTTTGGTGACTTTCGTCTCGCGGAGCCAACCAAGCAGCCTACATCTACCAACGTGACTCAGTCCACTTGTCAGTGACTTCATGGATTTCTGCCACGTTTTGGTTTGGTAATAAATAATTCCAACGAGATAAACAATTAAGTCAACGCCTCGAATAAAAAAGCTATTACTTTTTCAGAACTTTCTTCGTTGTTTTTTGAAAAAGAGAATAAGCACAAGTTAACAGATATTTAGAATAGTAGGGTTACTTTATACTATTCTCTTGAGTTTTGTACACATTTAAGAACATAACTAAGTCGTGAACTATTATTACTTCGATAATAAGGCTAATCTGTTAATTGGCAACTTGAATCTAAATTATTTGGGAAAGATTGGATTTCATGATAGACTGGATGGTATTGATGTTTTCTAAGTGACCACACAGCATGGGAATATTTTTTTCATGGTGACCTGCAAACGAAAGTGGATTAGTATTATTAATTTTTTTGACTGTAGAGGGGGTTGCAATTACTATTGAGTTGGATGGAAGATGAATGTCTAAACCAATAGATCAAAGCTCTGTTGTGCACCCATACAACTTCAAAAGCATGTTACGAAGTAACTTAAACAAGATCATTTACTGTTTAGTTAGTTATAGCATCATATAGACTGGTAAAACGTTCAGGCAAGCTTGATGTATTCTTTACTTAATAAAATGCTAACAGAAGTGTGCAATTTAATCTGGTACAAATTTACAGCAACCATAACTGTAATATAGTACACCAAGTCAATAATGGTCGATTATAAAATGAGATATCAAAAGTTAAAGTAATGAAAATAACAGCAAAGCATTTTTACTAAACTAAAGAGAACTTCCACACAATAAGGCATGGACAAACAATTCTCACAGAGCGAAGTGATAACGTAATAAAGAATTTCGGAGGTGAGCGGAATTTACATATTGAGATGTAAAGTCAGTCAGTTGCAACGTAGAACTTCGTACGTATGTACATAAGTTCATGTTGCCATACCACATTAGCACAGAGACCCAGATGTCAAATCAAATCCCATAGTGATGGAGATAGTAGAGATGTTAACGGTAATGAAGAAGACTAGGGTTTGAAGATATTATTCAAGAAGTATAATTCAGTGAGATAAGGTTAGAAAGACAAAGGTAGAGGTGCTGACGAATCCAGATTAGGATTTGAGAGAGCTCAACAAATGGATGCACTTGCGCCATTGCAAACGATTTTGAGCCATGTCATTCAAGGTCTCTAACCATTGGTGACTTTCGTCTCGCGGTCCTCGAT